GCTTATTTACATCCAATCTCAGATCTAACGTCAACAAAAAAATCCGTGACTAATTATTACGGGAATAAAGATAATGTTTCAGTTAATCCAGGTATGAGTAAGTCCGAAATCGAAAACCTAATAAAATCTATGATTTCTTCTTCAGAACCCCAGGAAACACAGGTATCAAAAAAGACGTCGCCAACTATACCACCAAAAAATATGGAAGAAATAAAAGCCGCTTTGTTATTAAAAGAATTATACAACATGGGATTTCGGGATGAACCTATAGTAGATTTTATCGAAAGTTATAATAAACGTGGAGAATATTTTAAAAGAAAACAGGCTCAAAATGATGATTCTGATGATGAATTGGCCAATCGTATGAGTAAGTTATCTATAAACAAGGCTATGTCCAAAGGATATGCACAGGGGGTGAAAACAGGTATTCGCGCTTCCAATAAATCATCTCATAGATGTTCCAATTGTAATAGAACCGGGCATAATTCCCGTAATTGTCCTCGTAAGAAGAAAAAATCTAAGAGAAAAGCTAAGGTTAATATCGCTCATAAAATTTCTAGTTCTGATTCGGATACTAACTCTTCTGATAGTGAATCTGAATCTAGTTCTAGTGATTCTTCATCTGAAGTTGAAAGTATGAACGTTAACATTACTAAATCCAAAGAAAAAAAAAAGTAAATCGGAAGAAAAATTCTAATAAATCGTCTTCCGGAAAGAAGTCAAAAACTCGTAAAACAAAACGGAGCGAAAAATCAACTTCTTCTGATAAAGGACAAAATAGCGGAACTATCACGGTTAAATCAAATCGTATTGATAAATCCCTTCAAAAAATTATACTAGACATGTTTGACGGTATCCTACCTGTGGATTTGATGGACAAACTTAAAATGAAAATTGAAAATTCATCTAATATAGTTACGCCTATTCAGGAGGAGAAAAATTTCAAGTCTCCGACTCGACTAGATTTCACAAATTATCGAGAACCGATTCCAGAAATACATAGTGAGGATGGAGAAGAAGAAACTTTAGACGATCCTATGGAAATAGATTTTGTTCGAAGAAGGGAACCTACCACAAGCCTTGCAACTATACCGGTTAAAATTAAACGCTTAAAAATTCCAGCATTGGTACTAGATAGTGGAGCTGAACCTCCAATTACATCGGAAGACATTGTTAAACGTGTAAATTGGCCAATTGATGAATCAGAAAAATATGATCTTAGTGGAGTTGCTACAGTTCCAACAGAATCTATTGGTATTGCTCGTAATTTTCCAATAACATTCTCTCCAGGTTTTACTATACGTGAAGATTTTGTAGTTGTACGTGTCCCTAAACCAACATTGATATTTCCAAACCCACTTCTCAAGAAATATAAATGCGCTATAGATTGGGGGAAAGATGAATTGAAAATTCCTTTCAATGGGAAAGATCACATTATTCCAGTAACTATGCACAAGGTAAAAAATAAGCTCGAAGTAAATTGCGCTAATGTAGTACAGAATACCGATACCTCAATTTCAGATCAAATTTCACAGGATGATGAGACATTAAAAAAAAAAGCATGAATTGTGAGAAATGCGTGAATCTAGAAATAAAGTTATATAGCGTTCTCAAGTCTAAAGCAGAAATTAATGAATTTTCTGAAAAGATGCAAGCTAGCTATGAAAAACTACTTAATCGCGCCTCTTCTGGATTCTAAGTTAATAAACGAGTCATATTTTCTATATTCTTCTTGTCTCTTTTAGCTTCTCGCTCATATAATGCATTCAATTCTTCCTGGTTTATTTTTTTTGTAGAGTCATCAGAAAAGTCGTTACTGACTAGGGTTGAATCAGATGAGCGAACTATTTTTGATTTGGGCCTTCTCTTTTTTATCCGTTCATTGGGAAGAATGGATGATTCCAGATGTAAAACCTCTCCTTCGATTCGATTAGGATGTATTTCAGGAGAAATAGTACTCTGTACCTCAGGTAACTTTACTGGTCTGGGATAATCTTCCGAAACAGGTTGATACCATTCAACTCTACCAAATTCTTCGCCTCTCCAAATTTGATATAAGCGAGAAATTGATATATGATATTTGAGTCTTAATTCTTCTAAAGGTTTGGATTTTATATCACGATATTGCATGATATCTTTATAATCTTCAGGAGATAATTTTGCTGCATCAGATCGCATACGTTTTCTACGTGAAGAACCGATCATATCGATAGTTTTGATAATATCGATAAAAAATATCTTTTATAAATATTTATTCTACTTATACTATCGATAGTTTCAATAATATCGATAAAAAATATTTTTCTTAAATATTTATTCTACTTATACTATCAATAGTATTAATACTTAGGTATATTATTTTTAGTAGTATTTATTCTATGTGTGCTATCGATAGTATAAGTAGTATCTATCATATATAAGGTATCCATGGCATTTATAATGTACATAATATTAAAAATTAACTTCTCGCCTATTTTTTTACCATACATAGAGCCGAAAAAATATGGCCAATGTATATACATTACAAGATATCAACTTAAAAGGACATCGGCTCGGGAGTATGCGTGAAGAAGAGCTTGAAGAGAAATTACATTACGCTCTCAAATCCAAGGCCGAAATTAATGACTTTGGTGAAAGATTGCAGATTAAGTATATAAAACAAGGCAAGGATTTTGACCGGGAAAGAAAAGAATGGAATCGCAATCTGGAACAGGCCAATACAGATATTCAACGAATTCGTACAAATGCTAAAAAACTTATTAATGAAGTTAAAGGGTTGAAGGTAGAAAATACTAATCTTATATCCCGGCTTTCTCATGAACAAATTTCTCATAACGAATATAGATCCAAGTATGATGCTCAATTGAAAGAGATAAAATCGCTTCAATCTATGATCAAGAAATTGGAAAGTAAGTTAGCTTCGTCTCAGAAAGATTCATCGAAAAAAGAATCTGAGATTACCACCCTTAGGACCGAATTATCTGCTTTAAATTCTAATCTAGTTTCAAAAAATAGTGAATTGGCGCATATGGAAAATGTATTAATTTCGAAAGATGATGAATTGAAACGAATGAAAGATGATTTAGCCTTGAAAACTTCAGAGATACACTCTTTAGAATCAAAGTTGCCGTTAGAATCAGTCAAGATCGGCGGTGAGACAGATAAAAAAAATATACCGAATTCCGCTGATATCTTTGCAGTTAATAAACCTATAATGAATATTAGTAAATATTTACGTAAAGATATTATATATAAAAATAGCAAAGCTAACATGACTAAAATGCCAGAAGTAAATTCAGAACGATCCAATTTAATAGGCGATACCGATTCTTCATATAAAGATGATACATCACAAAGTATCGAGTCAATGAAGAATATGAATCCTGAAGGAAATGTATCTCCGCAAGTTGAAAAAAAGATAGACGTTCCCAACTCCTCTTTGGATAAATCGAATTCCGTGATTTCAATGGGAGGAATAGAAGCAATTCCTGCTATGACAAGCGTATTAGGTTCACCGAAAATTCCACGAATCATACCAAAAATACCAATAAGGAGAATGCTCAATTACGTCACAATAATAAGGAACTTTCCAATCATATATATCGGCTTATAGACGAGGTTAAACAATTACGCTCAAAAATAGATACTCTCAAATCCTGTATTACTGATAAAGATCTTTTACTTGGTAATTTCAAAGACAAGATTCGTTCAAAATCCAAAGAGATGAAAGATTTCTTATCTAAGATAGAAGCGTTGAAGACGAAATTATCTTCGACTCAGAAGAGTTTGTCTATAAAAGAATCTGAGATTACCACCCTTAGGACCGAATTATCTGCTTTAAATTCTAATCTAGTTTCAAAAAATAGTGAATTGGCGCATATGGAAAATGTATTAATTTCGAAAGATGATGAATTGAAACGAATGAAAGATGATTTAGCCTTGAAAACTTCAGAGATACACTCTTTAGAATCAAAGTTGCCGTTAGAATCAGTCAAGATCGGCGGTGAGACAGATAAAAAAAATATACCGAATTCCGCTGATATCTTTGCAGTTAATAAACCTATAATGAATATTAGTAAATATTTACGTAAAGATATTATATATAAAAATAGCAAAGCTAACATGACTAAAATGCCAGAAGTAAATTCAGAACGATCCAATTTAATAGGCGATACCGATTCTTCATATAAAGATGATACATCACAAAGTATCGAGTCAATGAAGAATATGAATCCTGAAGGAAATGTATCTCCGCAAGTTGAAAAAAAGATAGACGTTCCCAACTCCTCTTTGGATAAATCGAATTCCGTGATTTCAATGGGAGGAATAGAAGCAATTCCTGCTATGACAAGCGTATTAGGTTCACCGAAAATTCCATGGATGATGCTAAGTTTATTAATTATTGTCGTTATATTGCTTAGATTTATTCGGCCTATTTTGAATGCAAATAAAAAAAGCGAAAATTTAAAATATGCACAGATTCGGTAAATGAATATTACGAACTATCTATTAAACTTGGGAATTATTATTGAATGAAAAAAATATATTAAGATTGTCAACCTATATATTAATTATTAAGTATTCTTAGTAGAATTTGCCGATCCAACTAAGATATACTAATAGTATTAATTAGCCGTGCTAGCTTCGCTATTTTTTATATCGTTTTGAATCAATTCGATTGCTTTACACCATGTATTTCTGAAATTATTAATTACTAGTCGTTCAGACTCCGATATATGAGGTAACATGGGTTGAGAAATAATCATCTCATTTTTTCTCATAGTCTCAGGTGTACCAATTTTTCCTGAATCTGATACGTGTTCTTTATACCGCATATGATAAACTAACTTATGGAAGAATGTATCGTATTTTTCGACGATTTTAATTAGCATTTCCAAATGTTTAACAAAATCAGAGCATATAGATTTTTTTATATCATCACTTATTGAAAGATTATTATTTTGTGTAGACCATTTTGCATATTCTATAAACCTTTCCCATAATTTTTCTACAGGGTCATCTACCTTAAAATATTCAAAAGATAACCAATTACCGTGAAATATTTCATATGTATCACTTATCTCCCTATATAATATACTTTGTGCCTTTTTAATGGCATTTTTGGAGGCACGTTTATATGCAGGTCCACGATCAGTAATCATTTTTGGAGTAACCCCATTCAATCCATTTACATAATCTTCGAGCCATTTTTTAGCTTTATTCTGAGAATAATCATCTATCCGTTTATATTTTTCATCCGGATCTTCAAGTTTCATATTTTTATCAGAAGAGGATGGTTGGTATCTATTATCATACATGATAAATCGAGCGCAAAGTCCAATAATATCATCCCGGAGATAGTATAAATAATCTAACTCTTTTTCAAGTTCTTTCGCTACATCAACAAATTCCATTTTGTCTCCTTTAGTTGGATGTAACCTTTTACCAGATAAATCGTAATCTGCACCCTTAGTTACTACGTAGTTGAAACGCTCACCTGGATCAGGAATCTTATTTTTGTATAATTTCTTCATCCGTTTCATGAAACGCTGAACCGGTGGATTTTGTACATTGGGTTTCCATGTATAAGTTTTGATAAATTGTTCATATTTCCATTGTTTTGGATCAGAAATAGCCTCTCTAATAACGTCTTCAACGATTTTATGAACGGAAACCTCGTTATCAACTTCCATAGCTTTCAACATGATTCGTTCACCAATATCTATAAAAAGCTTAGATTGCCCTTGTTTTACGGTATCTATTCCTTTTATAAATAGATTTTTTGATTTAAAGTTCGGAACATCTTCATGTGGAAGTCCGAAATATTTTTTCTTTCCAGTAAAACAAACTGGAAATAATACCTCCTCATATGCCATTTTAAGATATGTTGACCTGGTTTTTAATCTAAGATAACTATTTATATCATCGCGTAATTTTTTCATTACATTCATAGTAATCTTAACCATCTCAGTCCAGTATTCTAACTTCGAGATTATACCTTTTCCGTTATTATAATCGAGATCACATTTCTTATAGAATTTATCTGGACAAGTGAGGTATAAAGAGTCTGTATCCCCATATTTAGTTTTGAAACCTTTTCTATTCACAAACTCGGCAACTAGTTTAATATTGTATTGTCCTGCCGATGTAACTCCTCCAGCTAGTTCACGTTTAAAGAAAGGGGAAAGGGTATTTCCCATCTCGCCATAAAAGGTATTCATGTATAATTTTGCCGTTTTTTGTTTTGTATCTAAGCAATTATAATCGAAACGAACAGAATCATATTCTTTTTTAAAATCGGTACAGTTTACATTAATGAAAGGAATTAGATTTTCAGATAACATATTACGGTTCTTTTCATCTTCGGCGTTTTTCAAGATATGATTGATAGCATCCGTTGTCGATATTTTTTTTTCTTTCGTTTCGTTAATTACTAATTCCATATACTCTTTTCTCTTACTAAGTAATCCTAATTGAGACTTCATTTGATTTCGCTTATTGAGTAAATTTTCTAAAACCTCTGGATATAATCCTTTTTTATCGAATTTATTTTCATGTCTTATTATCCAAGCGCGTAAAGTTCGACCATTAAAAGGAAATTCGATTTCATGAAGTGGTTTTTTTTCTTTCTTTAGAATATCCGCTTCTTCGGATGATAAAATCATTTTATCCGGTGAAAGGTTATAATTCATAATAATACTTGGATACAAAGAAGCAAAATCCAAACCTGTTACTGGACGTTTATTTTCCAGACCTTTCTCTGGAGGAAATACATATGCTCCGGGAAATTTTCCAGATTCCGTTTGTTTAGAAGCAATCATAGTAATTAATATATCTTTCTTCCATGCTTCAGCACCTAAGAGATTGCATACCCTCATACCTCCAGCATAATAATGCGAATCAAATAACGATACATAAGCAATTGATGCAACTTCTCTGTAATCATTTAATACATTACGTCTAATCATGAGTTTTTGACAAGATAGAGAATCAACAATACAATACTCCGCAATCTTATACATATTTTTGGTTGATTCAGCTGTAGTAGATTTCTTGCTTTGTTCGTAAAATTTCCTCATATCTTTTATCGGCATATCTATTTTATTACCAAGACCACCATAGATTTTTAAGTAATAGTCAAGTGAATTTTTTTCAGAACGTGGATGAAGTTTTTTATAAGATACTATTACGTCAATTGGAACACAACCGGGAATTTTGAGGAAAGTAGATACAAAATTATCATCTGAGCCGATCTTAATTGCAATACCTTCCCGGTTCTTTATTTTTTCGTTATCGTTATCTTTCCCCCCTTTCAAACTCTTTCCCCATGATTGCTCTTTATGAAAGAAATCTTTGTCGGAAGGATTTCCTACCCCTCCATGATAATTCCAACGAAGAATACCATCAGGAGTAGTCTTTTGGCGTGGATTTCCGGACATTTGCATATACATCCAATCTAAAATTTTTAACTGGAAAGCTCTTTCTACTATAAATGGCCAATCGTACTTGGACCCATTGTAAGTAAGTTCGATATCAGGAGCTAATGTTCTCCAGCATAAAGCAAATGCTTTTAATAAATTCCTTTCATTCCCGCAAACAATCGTAATCCATTGTGGGTCCGGTATGGTATCTACATCAACGAGACAGATTTGCTTTAATGGAGTAGGGTCATCTTTCCAATGAACGGTCATACAAATCATGAATACGTTATCTTCTTTGTATCTTGCCATAGGTATATACTCTAATCCACGTGTTGAATGTGTTTCAATGTCCCAGGCAAGAACTAATGTCCGATCATGAGTAATAAGTGAAGAATGATAGGTTTTATGTAATGTCGAGGGCTCATCTATGGGCCGGAAACCGTTAACTGATACATAGAAAGAATGTGTACAGAGCGGGGATCGAGTATTATAAGGCAACCCATTATATGAGTAATTAGTCAATAAAGCCCATCCAGAAAGCGGAATCTTATATTCTCTGGAAACTTTTCGATAATATGCACTCCTATCGTCGGAAGCAGTTTCTAAGTTATGTTTTAGAATAATATTTAGAGCGATTTTTCTTAGAAAAGTGGTTGTGGTATAAATTCGAAGATATGACTTTTTTTCTACATGATAACCACGAATAGGGAATGCTTTTACGTGTTCTATCCGAATTTTATTTATGTCTATAGTTTCTCCTTCGTCATCTTTCCCATTTTTAAATATATCTTTTATTTCAGTCTCGAATACATCAACAGTTTTATCATCAGGAAGACGGATATCGAAGAAAACCTTAATACCTGAAATAGTTACAACGGCCTTTTCTCCATTGACAAGACATCCATAGATACGTAAAACATAATGTGGAATATAATTTATATATTCATTATATTCTTCGATATCAACGGGCATAAATGGGATATCTTCTTTATTGCTTAATACTTGTTTAATGATTTTTGTTGAGCCATAGTCATCATTCTCTGCAATTATATTATCACGACTAGGATTGACTGGTAAATAATCTTCTCCATTGTATCGAAATACTTGGCCTGCTTTTCTGCTAACATCCTCGAAGGGGGCTTCAGGGGTTTCAACAACAGAATTTTCGATTTCAGAAATTTGCGGTTGAGTATTTTGGGTAGTCATCTTATTTTGCTAATATAATAATCGAGAGAAAAAAGTTCAAAATAAAAATTAAATCCGAAATATAATAATCGATACATACTATATAGTTGATCAGACGTTATAAAAATATGGCATTTTATCGTTGTTCATACATACTTAGGACTGGAGAAGTTTGCAATCGGGGTTGCTATAGGCCTGAGGGGTGTCAAATCCACTGGGACTCTCCTATACGCGTTCCTTGCAAAGAATGTGGTAAGTTGACTTTTTCCAAATATAATACCTGTGATATCCATGCTAGAAAACATCGAAAAATGGAGCAATACTACCGGAAGAAGCTAGAGAAGATGGCGCTAGATGGAATTGAGGTCCATGCTAGAAAACATCGAAAAATGGAGCAATACTATCGGGAAAAGCTAGAGAAGCTCTCCCAGACCGTTCCTGAGGTAGAAGAACCTGAGTGAACTATATTTCCGAACATTTACAGCGAAGCCTTTAGTATAACTAAAGGAAATCCGTTGCTAGTAAAAAATAAGAAAATGGCACAGACAGGTCATAGAAAGTGATATTTGCTGTCATAAGTTCCGTCATAAGTAAAAAAATTTAACTGGTGACACTTCTCTTATACTTATTGAGAGTCTAAGCTCGAAAGAAACCGTTTTTCATTAACTGTCACAAGTGTCACTAGTGTCACAAGTAAATTTCTTACTTTTTCTACTTATTTTTTTTTTAAGAGCGTTACATTTTTTTAGACATTAATTTTTTTACTAGGTATACCATAGGAAACTTTCGATTTTTTTTTTTCAAGAATTTTAGTTTTAACTAGTGACACTAGTGACAAGTATATAAAAGTAATCAAAAAAGAAACAAAAAGGTTCAAAACTCTCAAACAGGCGTCACAAGTTCTGTCACAAGTACCTGCAAACAACTAGTGACATCTAGTGATAACTTGTGACAAAATATCGATTCATTTTGATATAATGTGTCTTTAAATGACTTTAATAATATATATTTACTTGATACATAGTATACTCAATAACATATAAAAAAAAAAACAAATCATCTGTCAATTGATTATACAAACCACGAATTCCTTCTATAATAATATAGAAAATAATTTGAAAGGACACACTGATAGTATTTAACATACGTTAATTCCGTATTTTATTTCTCATAGGGAGAATATAAAGATGTAGAGATTTGATGATCAAATACTATTTGTCATAATAGGAAAAAAAAAATCCTATGGACAGAATTAACATCTGATTTTTACAATATTCTTGAATATACTTTGACAACAAAAAAACTATATCAATTCATGGTAGGCAAGTGCGGTGGGTAATGAATGATAGCAAAAAATACATATCAAATTGATGATCCAATTTTTCGCTAAAAAAATGTTGCTAGATAAATTTTATTTTCGAAAAGTAATACGCAAAATTATAATCCAATTTTATGGTGATACATAAAAGTGCAATAAATTTTTTTTCGTTTTTTTTATTAGGTATACCATATATATATGTTTCGATTTTTTTCCTATAATATCTTCTTTATTTTTTAGTGACTTTGGTGACATATATAAATAAGATAATAAAACAACTTAAAACTTAGAATTATGATAGAGAATGTGTCACCAAAGTTGTCACCAAAGATTTTTCGTCACTGAAAATTTTCAGTGACAAGTAAAAAAAACGCCTGGAGTGGTACTTTTAGTCGACCGTCAACATGTGTGGACGATAATCATGTTTGTTGCATTTTGGAAGATGATCTGCTATAACGTTTCAAAAATAATTATATCTAAAAAAATCGTTATAATATGATTTCCAAATAATTATGTTATATAAATGTCGGGATGCATATGAATACTATTTATTTACGTGGCCAGAAATAAAAAATTGGCCGCCCAGAAGTTTTGGTCACGTGTACATCTGAGCGGCCAAAAAATAAAAATTGGCCACGTACAAATGTGGCCAAAAAAACGGATTAGGCCACATGGGGGAGTTATAGTCTAAAATAAGTGGGGGGATCGTAGTATATTTTATACTACGATCCCCCCACTCCATTCTATATTCCACATCTTTTGTTTTATTAAATTTTTCTAATATATCTTTTGAAATTTCCATCCATCCATCATGAGCCAACTGGAGAAGAAGGTTAATGCGCCATGGTTTAGGCTTTTGGGGGAATTTTTTCTTCTCAAATACTGTACAGAATAGTTTCTTAAAGAAATCATAATGTATCTTTACAACACATTCCCTTGAATTCAAAGAAACATGCAATGGACCCAATATTGGAACAACATTTTCAATCCCATCAATATTACTTAATAAATGTTTTGAATATAGTGTAATAGCTTTTCTAAAAAAGAGTTGTCCTGGGTAGTCAGCAATTACAGGTATAACATTTTTTTTAATATATTCTGATAAACTATTTATACTTGTTATCATTTTTAATGCTGACAAATAATCTTCCAATGAGTGAAGGCTCTGTTGTTTTATATTTATTATCTTTACTGACTCCATTGACCTTTCTTCTTTTTTTTCTTCAATATCTGCATTATATATATGAATAGTTAAAACTTCAACACGATCAAAATTTCTAC